GCTCTTTCCTTCAATCTCCCAAACCTTGCTCCGCCATCCATTTACTCAATCTCTCTAGGTAGGTTATGCGTCGTTTTCCTCTGTCGCTCTTTCCTTCAATCTCCTAAACCTTGCTCCGCCATCCATTTACTCAAGCTCTCTAGGTAGGTTATGCGTCGTTTTCCTCTGTCCCTCTTGCCTTCAATCTCCTAAACCTTGCTCCGCCATCCATTTACTCAAGCTCTCTAGGTAGGTTATGCGTCGTTTTCCTCTGTCGCTCTTTCCTTCAATCTCCTAAACCTTGCTCCGTCATCCATTTACTCAATCTCTCTAGGTAGGTTATGCGTCGTTTTCCTCTGTCCCTCTTTCAATTCCTTCAATCTCCTAAACTCAATGCTCTAGGTCATCCATTTTCCTCTGTCTCTTTCCTTCCTTGCTCCGTCATCCATTTACTAGGTTATGTGTCGTTTTCCATCTGTCGCTCTTTCCTTCAATCTCCTAAACCTTGTTCCGCCATCCATTTACTCAATCTCTCTAGGTAGGTTATGTGTCGTTTTCATCTGTCGCTCTTTCCTTCAATCTCCTAAACCTTGCTCCGCCATCCATTTACTCAATCTCTCTAGGTAGGTTATGTGTCGTTTTCCTCTGTCGCTCTTTCCTTCAATATCCTAAACCTTGTTCCGCCATCCATTTACTCAATCTCTCTAGGTAGGTTATGTGTCGTTTTCCTCTGTCGCTCTTTCCTTCAATCTCCTAAACATTGCTCCGCCATCCATTTACTCAATCTCTCTAGGTAGGTTATGTGTCGTTTTCCTCTGTCGCTCTTTCCTTCAATCTCCTAAACCTTGTTCCGCCATCCATTTACTCAAGCTCTCTAGGTAGGTTATGCGTCGTTTTCCTCTGTCGCTCTTTCCTTCAATCTCCTCAACCTTGCTTTGCCATCCATTTACTCAATCTCTCTAGGTAGGTTATGCGTCGTTTTCCTCTGTCGCTCTTTCCTTCAATCTCCTAAACCTTGCTCCGCCATCCATTTACTCAATCTCTCTAGGTAGGTTATGCCTCGTTTTCCTCTGTCGCTCTTTCCTTCAATCTTCCAAAGCTTGCTCCGCCATCCATTTACTCAAGCTCTCTAGGTAGGTTATGCGTCGTTTTCCTCTGTCCCTCTTGCCTTCAATCTCCTAAACCTTGCTCCGCCATCCATTTACTCAATCTCTCTAGGTAGGTTATGCGTCGTTTTCCTCTGTCGCTCTTTCCTTCAATCTCCTAAACCTTGCTCCGCCATCCATTTACTCAAGCTCTCTAGGTAGGTTATGCGTCGTTTTCCTCTAACGCACTTTCCTTCAATCTCCTAAACCTTGCTCCGCCATCCATTTACTCAAGCTCTCTAGGTAGGTTATGCGTCGTTTTCCTCTGTCCCTCTTGCCTTCAATCTCCTAAACCTTGCTCCGCCATCCATTTACTCAATCTCTCTAGGTAGGTTATGCGTCGTTTTCCTCTGTCCCTCTTGCCTTCAATCTCCTAAACCTTGCTCCGCCATCCATTTACTCAAGCTCTCTAGGTAGGTTATGCGTCGTTTTCCTCTGTCGCTCTTTCCTTCAATCTCCTAAATCTTGCTTTGCCATCCATTTACTCAAGCTTGCTAGATAGCTCCTGCGTTGTTTTCTACTGTCCCGATTACCTTTAATCTGTCCTGTGAGTATCAAATTTTCCAAACCCTCTTTTTGCATTATGTGCCCTAGAAATTTCAACTATCTCTTCCTTGCCTTCTCTCAATATTCGTCGTTGTTCACATGCTCAATCTATGGTATTCACGGCATCATCCACTAGAATTACTTAAAACTATTTTTTCTTAAGTTTAACTAATCTAAATTATAAATTTATTAGAAAATATAACGAAATAAATGGTTTCATGGTTTCATAGTTTCCTATCAATCAGTTACTCAGTTTAGGACCATAATTGATACATGCTTGGGCGTTCACATTTCTTTCATTGCTGACTAGGCAGACGTTTTTCTTGCTGTAGATTGCCGTTTCTTTCTGTGGTAGACTGGCTAACGACCAAGGCTGTAGAACCCAGTCTTTCCTGCTATTTAATCTATAGCAATGCGGAGAAATGTAGAGATGGCTTCATACCTTTCTCAAGGGTATTTGCGCCTAAGTGAATATAATGGACACGACCGGAATTCGAACTCGGCTCTCCGATTACTCATGCCGACTCTTTATCATTACTTATTCTTAATGCTATGTTTCTGTCTTTCTCAACTGACTTTCGACCTGTGTTGATAATAAAATGAACGCAAACAAAACTAATCTCTTCTCAGACCGTAAAGTAATTGAAAAAATTGAAGTCTAAATACAAACGCATGACATGGAAGTAACGATTGCTGGTTGACCATTAATTAAGTTTTGGGGGATTAAACAGCCAATGTTTTATCAGTAGGAAACACCGCTAACCGATTTTATCGAAATTTGAACCAATCGCAAAGCGGGATACATGAAAAATTAATTTTCTGTGTGTAAATTCAATTAAAACTACCCAAACTAGTTCGTTATTTTCTTAGATATGCATAATAAAAATTCCAACCTATAAACTTATTTTGATGAAAGTCTTGTAAGGGAAGATTGAATTGAAAATGGTAGCGGAATAGAAAACTGAGGATTGGGGAACAAGATTAAAAAGAAAATTCGGTCTAGGGAAAGAAGTAAATGGTGGGAAAGAGACCCCGGGAAAGAATTTAGAGGGTGGATGGATTACCCACCTTGAGAATGCAAAAAATGAAATACGTTTTTATTTTGTTTTGTTTGTTGTTGTTGTTTGTTTGTTTGTTTTGTTTTTTTTTTGTTTTTATATATCCAACTCAAAACAAACTGACTAAAAAATAGTGTTTGATGTTATCTAAACTGTGGAAGGTAAATAACAGAAAGAAAAAAAGTTGACTAATTTGTTTTTTGTTTGTTTTTTTTTGTTTTTTTTTCTGTATGTTTTTTTACGGTTTATCAACCCTCTGTTGGTTATTTAAATCATTTCCCAAATGGTTTCCCATCTAAGTATTGATCGGGCTTGACGTTTCTTAAATTCGGTATTCGAATGGGAACTAATTTTTTTTTTTTCAGCGGAAAGGAAGAAAGAAAGAAAATACTGAGGTATAAAAATAAAAATAAAATCCTGAAAGAAAGAAAGAAAGAAAGAAAGAACGTGGCCTCCCATCTAAGTACTGACTGGGCTAAATGCTGCTTAACTTCGGTAATCAAAAGAACCCTAGAGTTTTCAGTAGAAAGAAAGAAAAAAACAAACAAAATATGGGTTGTAAAAATAGAATTAAATGAAAATCCTTTAAGAAAGAAAGAAAGAAAGAAAGAAAGAAAGAAAGAAAGAAAGAAAGAAAGAAAGAATGTGGTCTCCCATCTAAGTGCTGACCGGCTCAATGTTGCTTAACTTCGATAAACGAATGAGAAAGAAGGGAAATACTGAGGTGCAAAAAATAGAATTAAATTAAAATCCTTTAAGAAAGAAAGAAAGAAAGAAAGAAAGAAAGAAAGAAAGAAAGAAAGAAAGAAAGAAATGAAGAATGAAAGAATGTGGTCTCCCATCTAAGTGCTGACCGGCTCAATGTTGCTTAACTTCGATAAACGAATGAGAAAGAAGGAAATACTGAGGTGCAAAAATAGAATTAAATTAAAATCCTTTAAGAAAGAAAGAAAGAAAGAAAGAAAGAAAGAAAGAAAGAAAGAAAGAAAGAAAGAAAGAAAGAATGTGGTCTCCCATCTAAGTGCTGACCGGCTCAATGTTGCTTAACTTCGATAAACGAATGAGAAAGAAGGAAAATACTGAGGTGCAAAAAATAGAATTAAATTAAAATCCTTTAAGAAAGAAAGAAAGAAAGAAAGAAAGAAAGAAAGAAAGAAAGAAAGAAATGAAGAATGAAAGAATGTGGTCTCCCATCTAAGTGCTGACCGGCTCAATGTTGCTTAACTTCGATAAACGAATGAGAAAGAAGGGAAATACTGAGGTGCAAAAAATAGAATTAAATTAAAATCCTTTAAGAAAGAAAGAAAGAAAGAAAGAAAGAAAGAAAGAAAGAAAGAAAGGAAGAAAGAAAGAAAGAAAGTGGTTTCCCATCTAAGTGCTGACCGGCTCGATGTTGCTTAACTTCGATAAACGAATGAGAAAGAAGGGAAATACTGAGGTGCAAAAAATAGAATTAAATTAAAATCCTTTAAGAAAGAAAGAACATTACAAAAAAGAGGTGAAAGAATCTTTTAGAAAGAGAGGCCATAACTCAATAAGGAAAAGGAAAGAGAATGTCATTAATAGGGAGAACGCAGTAAACACTGTGATGAAAAAGGGCAAAGAAAAATCGACCTACAAGGAAAGCAAACATGATAAAATAAGAGAGAGAAATTAAAACAAAAAGGATAAAAGTGTTAAGAGAATGAAATAAATATAAATTCCTGTCATTAAAATGCTATTTCAGAGATTCCCGAGCGGGTGAACAGCTTTGGTCTGATGTCAACAGAATCTGAGCTTTCATTTCGTTTTCTGATCGTTTTTCATGCGCCATGTTCATTTGGTGGGGTTAAAGAGGCACTTAAAAAGGGGCGTGTAACTCTACACGCGCACTTTTGTCCTTTGTATGGATGGCATTGTTTTCCATATTATAAAGTCATTGTTTTGTTTCGTGTTTGTCCTTTTGAGGAAACTGTCGCTTTATAAAGGTTAAAACTTCATTAAAGACACAGAATTCAAAGAATTTAAAGTCGTAATAACCAAAAAGTTTTAAAATAAAACATTTTCCTGTATTATCTAAAAAGCCTGATCCCCGGCATTTCTCTAAGCATATTTAGGCGCATTTTACTGACAAATAGATATCTTTATGGGTCGTGTTGAGTCAAGCCTTATTTGCTTTTGTACTGAAAATATTTATCTTACCGGAACGTCCTTTTGATATTTTTTGGCCGACACTAACTTTAGCACAAGGCTATATATTCCTTGGAACACACGGCGAGAAACGAAATCTCAAATGCCTTACGACAGGTGAACTACAAGATGGTCACTTTGTTAATTTTAGTTTTAACAATCCAAATAATTGATACACAGAAAGTATTATGGTACCTGTTTTATTTTTATTTTAGACCACAAGTAAATATATGGCATGATTATACTACAGTCTATAGTTAAACACGTGCCGTGTTAATACTTTTTTTAATATTTCACTCTAAGCAAGGCGATAATGCTACTAAGATGCAAGAGGTAACCCAATCCTAAAAAGGACACAAGAAATAAACCTCTACACTTGTTCAAAACACAGAGAAGGAGTTGAGTTCATTGATCAACATTGATTGTATTTATACTCGATACTACAAACATCTGCCAGATATCTATCTATATTTCTGAGATGAGGTATTATGTACACTATTTTCATTATTCTATCAATGGTGTTCTTTGTCTGAGATCATAGACAAAGGGCACCATTGGAAAATTCGTAAACTTAAGGAATCAGCACATATGCTAGGCCACAAAAATCTCCTGAGCCGACCAAGCATAGAAATGAATGCAATATGGGAACCAATAATAAGAAGTGCCAGAGAAAAGCGATAACAACAACAAAAATTGCAATATGAGCTCTGGTAAAAAGAAAAAATCAATGACAATAGCAAAAATTGCAATATGAGCACTGGTAAAATGGTTGCTGAAGACATCAGGTTTATAATACCCAGAAATTCATACACAGATGTCCTCAAGGACACATGGCACAGTGTTAGTAAGGCGTTAGTTAGATCCAGTGACAGGACCACAAAGTCTGTGAGTTCAATATCCGGTTAAGGCAGTGCAGAACTTGGAGACAGGAATTAACATGAGATAACTGGTAACTGACATCCATTAAACATTGCACTTGGAACTAGAACAGTCTACCCCAGTGAGCGAAATAAAGGGTTCAGTTCGACATTCCAAACACCTGAAAAAGGCCGGAGCGTACAACGGCCGAAATGTTGGTATAAATATGTCGACAAAGATGAGGACATTAGTCCGAATAATGTAAATAATCTACCAGATAGGTTACTCCTTTTGTGAGGTGTAATAGTCTTAATTCTCTGTAGGAAATAGAGTCGGCTTATTTGTGGCCCTGTTAATAGTGTTATTAATATGTATAGTCTGGCATAATTGTATGATAGTGAATATTGTGAGACTAAACAGCGAAACTATATTTTAGACCATCACTCTTCGGTAGTGGCTTTTTTGCGACTATATGCCGATGTGAATAAGTTTGTTCATATACAGGGTAATTGTAAAGTAACTCTCCATTTTAAAATAGTTATAATTTATTTATTAACTATAATTTTTACGAGAAATGGATATGAGAGGAAAGCGTTTAGCATAAGGTTTTATTTAAGATTCGACATGGTCACCAGATTTCGCTACCAGATTCTCCCATCAATCGCGCTCAAATGATTTTCACCAGGAACACGTGTTGTATGAAAGACATCATTTCTTGTATTCACCCTTAAGTTCTTCCAAAGTCTTGTCTTGGTATAGTACAATTGCTTCTTTAACCAACGCCCAAAGAAAAAATGTCACAGGATGTTAAGTCAAGACTCCTGGCCGGCCACTCATACATAAAATAGGAGTTACTTTTCAATTACACTGTATATATAGTGGTTCTATAGTAAACAACATAAAGATGTATCATAAGCATTCTTTGGAGATCGTCACTATCTGGGACATCGACCATTGTCAATAAGATTGCTTTGATTATAGACAACAGAACGATTTATTCATTGATTGTTCTATTTAAACATCAACTCTGTCAGTTATTTAATACCAAAAATATTAGTTCTATTAAAAAATATGGCTTCTAAACGATCCTCTGAGACGTTAGCTTCATCATTGATGTATTCAGTTTGCACATTTTTCGCCGTTGTGATTACCACTCTCCCCTATTTCTGTTGTAATTGTGGGTCATGGTGACATTCAAAGCAAAATGGTGCAATGGCTTGCCGACTCCTTTTACACCGGTGATGTTGAGATTACACCGTCCTCCCTCCTCCACCCAACTGGTAAAGCTCCTAGGTCCAGGCTGGCGACTGGGCGATGTCCCCTTGACACAGGTGGCTATGGAGAGGCGTTCCTTGTCACCGGTCGGGTCGGGAAACCCTTCTGATTACCCTCACACAGTTTAGCCAGTAGGTCGATGCCGTTGGTCGTAATGCCCATGCGACTTCTTCGAGAATTGGATGTAGGCCGTGGACCAGTAGAGTTCCGCATTCCAATTTAACTGGGTAAAGCAGGGTCGACCGCTCCGCTACAGAAGTACTAACACTGACGATATACCTATCACTCTCCAGTTACGCCTTTAAAATGGAGTTATTTACTGCTTTAATTTGTGGTATAGACGAAACTCCAAGTAGGTTAAGATTGTCCCTAGTTTTATCTTCTTCAAAAGGCCCTCTAGACTAATCATGTCATCAAATCGGCGACGTATAGGGGCAACATCACCGCAATTGGTTGGAATGTTTTACGGTATATGCCTCATTAGATGCTGTGTATTCGAAAGGATATTCATTTTTAAGAGAATTAAGTAGGAACTAAAGGTGGGTCTACAGCTTCAACTTGCAGCTGAGGTTTCCTTAACAGGAAGGTTTTTACCAGGTGAAACTGCTAGCTGCCCGTCCAACTTATTTTGAATTCAGGCTTGTTACCCGTCTGGTCTGGTATTTAGTCCATAGATAGGATAAGTACTAACGCCTCAGTACCTTTTCCGAATGTATTAATGTGCGTAAGTGAACATAATGAACGCAATGAACTCGGCCATAATTTGAACTTGTAACGCCTATTTCAATTGTCCTGTCGATAAAACAGACACTACGTGCACATGTACAGACACGCATACATAAGAACACACACATACGCACACATACACACATACACACACACACATATATATATACTTACATATGAATGTGTGTTTGTATTTATGTATATATACATGTATGCTTAAGTTATATATACATATATATATATATGTGTGTGTGTATATATATATATATATATATATATATATATATATATATATATATATATATATATATATATATACAATCACATATCGCCATTTATGTCAATATGTATGCATAAATTGAACTATAATTGCACATATATAAGCTTGCGTACACAGGCATATATATATATGTGTATGTGTGTGTGTATGTGTATAAATATAGGTCATATAAAATTGCGTGTATATAAAAAGTGTGCTCAGTTATGTGTATGTGGAGATATATATATATATATATATATATATATATATATATAATGTGTATGTGTGTGTGTGTGTGTGTGTGTGTGTGTGTGTGTGTGTGTGTGTGTGTGTGTGTGTGTACGGATGCCAGATATATGTGTGTGTGACTTTGTAATTTATGCAATGTCAAGGAAATACCAAAAACAGTATAACCTAGCAACTTGCTTCTGTTAGCTTTCCTCTCTCTCTCTCTCTCTCTCTCTCTCTCTCTCTCTCTCTCTCTCTCTCTCTCTCTCTTCTCAAAGAACAGTAAGCTTTGCACTTTAAAAATATGCCATACAAACGTCGGTTTTAAACAATTGCAGAATGTAAAATTTGGACAACACCCTAATCCTTAAGTTCCTACACAAAAAAAAAATCGTAAAAGAAACAAAAATGGTTTCACGTTTTCCTGCTTGGTTTCGTAATTCTAAGCGTAATTAAAAATAAATTAACATTTTATGCTCATTTGTAGCAAAAGCAAAAAAGCGTTGGTGGGGAAGTTGATCGACAAAAAGAAATTCACAAAGTATTATAATAATACGTCCTTCGGGTCTTGCTCCAAACGTTTGAACTGATTTTGTTAGCTGATTGCTTAAAATCCTCACATATATTAATCACAATGGTTTATATATATATATAATTACTTTTTTTTTAATATGATTCCATCGTTACACAGGAATTACCATGTTTCAAAAACAGAAGCTAAAAACTTCCGATTCAGTTATAGAAATTAAATTAAAGTACCTAGTTCTGTTTCATTTTCAAACGAATTTTGGAATAACTAATTTTGAAATTTACGGAGCTTTATAAGCATATACATTCATAATATTAATTTCTATGGATATGGAGAAAACTAATCATTTTAATAAGGGGCAGTAGGGTATTCATTTTCACTGACAACTATTGTATCAACATATTAGTTACTTTTGAAAAGAGGTTAATTCAAGGTCGGGTCTTTCCTATTTTATCAATATATTTGCATATATATATATATATATATATATATATATATATATAATGAAATGGACAAAGTTCGGTAATTATTTTAAGACATTTTATGTTTATACATTCTTTTTATAGATACAAATATTTAAGTAAATGTTTATAATAAACAGTATTAATAACATTTACCGGCCTGAATGTCCGAGAAATTTCATAGATAATATATGTCCCCCGACAGAAATCGAACCTGTATCCTATACGGAACAGTCATATAGCCTGACGTGCCTTAACAGATTGAGCCACAGAGGATCGTTCGGTTAGCAATGTCGATTTTACTGCTTTTTTTTTTTTTTGGAAGATTGTAGTTTAAAAGTAATAAATATATAACAATAAGCAGACCTGCGCATCCCATACTTCCGGTAACAAAAGACTACCAAATCAGTGTACTGGAGCAGCCTCGTTTTGATAAACTAGAATCCGTCAACCACTCAGTTTCTACGTCCGATAGCCGCCCCATAAGCGCAGGTAATTTCACTTATTTTTTCATAGTATCAAAAGATGATATATTTAATACAACTAATCTTTTCTGTATTAAATAACCGACAGAGTTGATAATATGTTTAAATAGAACAATCAATGAATAAATTGTTGTATTGTTGTCTTTCATCTAAGCAATTTTATTGACGACAGTCGATATCACAAATAGTGACGATGTCCGAAGAATGTTTAGAATACGCTTTTATGTTGCTTACCATAATAATTACTAATAATGAAATGAAATAATTAATTTACCTTATGTAAATTCGTATTCACTTTCATGGATTTTTTATTTACTCCCCAGCAAGTTTTTGGTGAACAAAGTGTATTTACGTTCATTTGTTGAATTAAGTGCTATGAATAATCAAGAGTGGTCTGCCTTTGTTTTGTTACTCTCCTCTTTGAGAAAGCTATTTCTGTTTACCCTGGACTATAAAAGGACACTATACGTGAACCTTATATTCTCAGTTGAATAAAGCTTTCTTAAAACCTATTCCTGTGTAATTTTGTCATTACACTAAGTTTATTTCAATAAACTTCGTTCATCAGAAAAATCTCCTGAGAATTGGATTAAAAAAAGCCCTGATTATGAATTTAAACAAGTGATCAGTTTTTATTATCAGAAACGATAAGTGTCTAGGATCAAAGTAACTATGCACTATGCAGAATTTTTTAAAAAGCTGTGAGCGAGGAAAAGCAAAAATAATCATAAAGGAAAATGAAAAGAAAAGCGGGTGGAAGAAAAAAAACGCTATAGAGACGAAAGAACCTCAGACAGATAAGATTTCCGTTTAAATTTTATTCGGGATACTATTCATCTTTTAAAATGGCGGAAGATCAAGTTAATTTCCTTTTCCTTTTGGATAATAGTTTTCGAAAATTATTTGAAGGTCGGTAACTGCTACATTATAAAAATAGTTTAATTTCATAAAAACAGAAAATGAAACAAACTACATTCGTTTTGGGCAAACATGAACATATACGTAAAATATGTTCAATTTTGCAACGGCTGATGAGGCTGTTCATAAATCACGTACAAGAACATTAGAGAAATGCATTGAAAGATTTAAGAATGGCAGATAGCTAATTACGTAAAAGAAAGAAAGTAAGTAAGTAAAAAGGAAAAAAAAGAAAGAAAGAATGAGTGAAAGAAAGAAAATAGAAAGAAAGAATGAGAGAAAAAAGAATGAAAGAAAGAAAGAATGAGAGAAAGAAAGAAAAAAGAAAGAAAGAAAGAAAGAGCACGTTCTTAAATTTGAACTCGAGTTTAAGGAAGTATTGATGCTCTCTCTCTCTCTCTCTTCCTCTTTCTCCCTTTATATAATCTCTCTTTCCTATTAATACCCAATTTAAAATTAGTTATTAATTACTTATTAATTATAAAAATTCACTGTTAATTGGAGGTTTCTAAGACTACTCCAGTATTAATTATTCGTTTAGAAAAATCAAATCTAGTATTAATTATAAGTTTCTACCCATAACCTATTAAGGTCATCCGTACCATTAAACCTACCGTATAGGTCGAACCGCATACATACGGTAGGCTACCAGTGACCTAAAACTGTGATCAAAACAGATATTTTAGGCTTCAAAACTCGACTTGTACGCCGTAATTTACGGTAAAATAATCAAGATATGTAGGAAATGCGAATTACTGGTTTAAATTTTTTTTTTAAATCGGCCTC